TTTTTTTTTTTTTTTTTTTTTTTTTGTCCTTTTTGTGACTGGCCGCACCGCGCTCAGCCAGTGAGCGCACCGGCCATCCCTATATAGGATCCGAACCCGCGGCAGGAGAGCTGCTGCGCTCCCAGCACTGCACTCTTCCTAGTGCGCCACGGGCTCGGCCCTGTAATACCTTTTTAAAAAAACTTTCTAGTGACTGTTGGATGATGTGTGTGGTAGAGTGGGAAATGTTCCATATATCATGGGAGGATTGACACCCTGAAAACAGCCCTTCCTGGCACACTTACAAATGCAATGTAGGGGCTAACACTTACCTGAGTCTTTTCAGCAATGGCCAAGGCGTACATTTCTTCATCTCGAAGTACTTTCAGCCATTCTCTCTCTATCTCTTTATTGAGTGGCAGGCCCTTTTCTATCCTGGAATTGCAAGAGAAGATGAATTCTTCTTTCTCTCTGACTTCCTTTTGGAGTTCAATGGTCAGGGCTTGCTTCATGGACAGCTCAGCAACAAGAGCCATCATTTTTTCAGTAGCATCTTTGATTCTTTTCTGATAGCCATTCATCTGGAATTAAAGAGCCCAAGGCTTAGTCTATGTATACATTTCATGAAGACTCAAAGAAAATGGCAGGCTGCTGGCTGTCTATAATGGTGAGGGCATTCTTGCCTGAAGAAAGGAGGGTTTAACTGAGAATTCATGGAAAGTAAGAACCACAAGAGACTTCAGAGATTGAGCCTGAAACCCTGGTTGTGTAAATAAGGATAAGGAAGAAAAGATTTTTCTAATTGCTAAATTTCAAGGTAAATAGCATTGAGGAGAATAGTTTAGTGTTTATTAAGAAGTGAGAAGGAGAGGGGAAAGAGTGTTCGTGATGCCTAAGTTCTGGCCTATTTTGCCATGTTATGAGTTTGTCACTTATTCGGGGAAAAAGTCTAAATCTGGTAGACCGAAAAACTAAAAGTTACTCTCTGCTTATATAAGATAATCAGTAGAGGTCCTGTATCTGAAATGATTTAATGGAAACTATCACCTCAATGTGTTTGCATTATTGCTCATAATTCCTGGGATGCCTCATTACTAGGTCAAAAGAAAGCATGAGCTGAGCTGGGGAAAATTTGGTTAGTAATTTGGAATGAGAGATGTTCCTGGTGTTTTTCTTTTTAACCTTTTTATATCAACTATTTAGTATCAATAGAGTTAAAAGATAAGATTAACTGGGGAAAAAAATGATTTCAAAAGACAGGAAAGAAGAAAAAAGGAAATTGGTGGTTCCTGTAAGCTTTCTGGCTCACAGAAGGTGGAGCCTTTTCCCGTGGCCATACCCATGGTGGGGCAGTTTAGCGGCAACTCCTTCTACGTGACAACATTCATTATTTTTTCCTTCATATCGTTATTTTTTCTTCATATTGTGTTTGACTATTGACATTATATTATATTTGTATAAGAAGGTACTTCAAAAAGTTCATGGAAAGGTTCATATTATCTTTTAATTCTATTTTTCCTCAAACTCTTTTAAGTATCCTCGTATGTATTTGGCTGTAATCTGTCATTGCACAAGAATGTACTCATAATGAGGACAAGGACTATATTATTCATCATATTCCCAGTGCCTAGGACAGTGGTTGGAAAGGCACCAAACAAAACTCGAATGGAATATATTCTGAATAAAGGAATGAATGAATTCTTAGTCTATTTTATTTTTTAGTCTTTTGGACCAGTATAAATTGGGACATGAAAATGAGTTTCCAAAAAGTATACCTAACCTTGAACACCTTCCTCTCCTAATAGAGCAGACACTGGTCATTCTGTACATCTGCTTAGAGAAATGTCACTGCTAATGATTTAACTGCCTCTGAAAATGTAGTAACTGATTCTTATCTAAAAAAACTTTGTCTCCTTAAAGGAGTAGAGATTATAAATTTTTATGACTCTTCTACACTGAACTAATTTTTAGGAAACATATTGAATAA